ACGTGGCTTCGGCCAGCGTCCACATCCGCATGGGTAGGGACTGGGGCGGGGGATGAGTAAGGCCGCCCCCCGACGAGTTGCCCCCCCCCTCCCAGCCCTTGCGGAGCGGCCCCTGCTGCCTCCCCTTGCTGGGCGGTCAAAGGGGGTGTCGTACCCCAGTGCTCCCAACAAGGTCCTCTCTGTTAACCCCATCGCCTGTGGCGTTTAGCTGGATTCAGGTTCCGCGCGATACTTTAACCTTCTGGGTGAAGGCTGTGAGTGGGGAGCCAGGGCGTTACCTAGTTCGGGTTAGGCATCGAGAGTGAGAGAAAGATCAGTGGCTGGGGAAAGACGGGATTTTATCATTTCAGTGTATAGGGGGCAGGTCTTTTTATCAGAGGGACTAAACCCATATAGGTTTAGACTTGATTTTCCCCAGAGTGATGCATTTTGAAGCCCAAACAAGATACACAAGATGTATAAAAGCTAAAATCGGTGCCCATAATTACAGTAGTCGAACCAGGAGACTGAGGGATTTGAATTTCTTCTGTGAGGTGTTAAAATATTGTCTCTTCCGCTGAAGCGTTTGCGTGCTATAAGGTCATATTAGTGGCCATGAAATACTGCTTTGCTGTTAATATGCAGGTCGCAAATGCATTGAATACTCTTGTAGGAAGTGTCTAATCAGAAATCCTTGCTGAAATAGTTGTAGTGTTACTGGATACATCTTGGAATAGAAACAGCTGTGTGCTGTGAATTTTTTATTAGATATTTCTGATAAACAGGAGATGTCTTCCTATAAAAATACAGTTTTATCTTGTTTGGAAAATAAAGGGCGCCATAGGAAATATGAAAGAGGTATTGTCATTAGCAAAATTGCTGATGCATTTAATAACGTGGGGAGAAGGCTGTGCTAGCTAGCAGGCTGCTTCTAGGTTTGTTCAGTTTATTACAACAAAGTAGGCCCCAGTCTCTTATGGCTTACCAGTATATTTAACTTCACCTGCTGCAAGCAGGGTAGTTCAGCTTCTGATAGTATGTGCTCTTAAACTTGTTTAGGCTGTGCTATTAAAGATTGAATTGATTTTCACTGTAAGCTTATTCTTCCTTTCAGAGCATTTTGCCTAATGGACTTGGTCTCCTTCCATTCAGAACAGAGAATATCTGTATGATATATCTGTATGTCCTGAACCACTCTCCACTCTTCATAATTCTAGAATTATGAAGCCTGTTAGCTTAATTCTGGGTTTTTTTAATCTGGGATTTTATGATAAACGATATCTAACATGGCAGAAGGTCAATCAAATAGTTATTACTGTAAAAGTTTTTCCTTTTTAAACTCTTATGGCTGTTTCTGTCTCCCACAGACCTTCCAAGTTACTCTTTCTTCATTTAGGTCCATTAGATACTAGGAATGTGATGGAGAAAGTATACTGTTAGTAATTTCTTAGTGAGATTAGGTGTATGTAGTTTTTAAAGTAGCCTGAAGTAAATCTCTTGCAAATGTTTTTTGTATTTCATCATCTTTGTTATTGTTTAAATAATGACGTACAGGAATAAATGTAATTTTGCTGGAATACCATGTCAATTTTTTAAGGAAAAATGGCTTCTTGCCACTTTGCTCTGTGCTTTTTCACTGAATAAAGAGTTTCTAATGGTTCCTTATCAAATAGAAAACTTGCACCTGATTTACTGTTGAACTTTGTAAGTGTAACTCAAAAGTGATATCACTTTCATTTTCCTTATTCTAGCTTTTCTACGGAAAGTCTACAGTATTCTTTCCATTCAAGTTCTTTTGACCACAGTCACATCTGCAATTTTTCTGTACTCTACTGGAGTGCAGGCATTTGTTCATGAAAGGTAAATACTAAAATGAAACGGGGCTGTTCATCGTGCATTAAGTATAGTTTATGTAGTTTGTTGCTCTGGAATGCTTCAGTATTCCTAATCATTTTTATACCCGGTGTTTTGATTCTGTAATAGAAATTTTGTAACCTGATTAGGAAATAACTTTTCTGACATTTTTCTCTTTGGTTTATTATTAAAATTTATTTTTATTACTATCATTAAAGTTTATTTTAATCATACTTTATTAATAATGCTTATTTTAATATTTATGCTATGAAAACCTATACATCAGTTGCAGAACATCTCAATTATTGACATTTCTTGTTTTATGGTCTAAGTATCTGCTTTTAGAATCTGTTTGGAATGCTGCTGTTTATAGGTACCTGTTCCAAAAAGCTGAATCATGTCTTGCTCCTCTCCCTCCCTCCCCCATCTTCTTTTGCTTGTTCCCTGAAAACTAGTCTGCTAAAATTCCTGTGGGCTTGCTTCTTTTTGCCTCTCAGATTTTCATGAGAAAAAAAAACAAGTCTCAAAACCCAAACTGTGGTGAACGGGCAGGGGAAAAGAACAACTGGGGAAGGGAGGAGAGCACTCAGTCCAGTTTCTGGTTTCCCCCAGGTGAACTTGCAGACTTTGCTTTTACTTTCACTTCAAAGCCCAAAGAAAAAAGGAGCATCAAACACTATATGGAAGTTTCTGTATAAGCTATAGCGTATACAACAGAGGTTGTAAAACTACAGTTTTCTACTTCAATCTGATAATTTAAAATTATCCTGCTCACTTAGATCTGTTGTGATTTTGTGTTTGATTTTGGTCCGGTTTTTGCTTGGAGGGCTGCTTGAATGATTTAATTATAGCGATACTTACTGGTCAGTACCGATTTTCTTTGGTGCAGTTAGTGCCCATGTTTGTTGCATTCAGGTGCTTATAAAACCAGTTCCCTGAATGAGGAGTTCTTAACAGGCAAAATATTACATATACTTTAATACTGTTAGTTTAGTACAGATGGATTTTCCTCTTCGTACGGGTTCATCTCCAGGTGATGGATTCCTGGGCTATCTTCATCTTCAGTATGAAAAAATTGTCTTGTGACTGTACTATTTTTAACTGATTATCTGTGGTGGTACGTTTCAGAGCAGTTTTATTGTAAAACTTGCTTTACATTTACTTTGGATATACGGAGCAGTATCTTTATCTAGCTGATAACTTAAAAACTTGGTTTTATATAAACTGTTTTTTAGTCTTCCAGATACTTTATTTTAATTTTGATGACTTTTGTATGAAACTTTACAGGCCTGCCTTGCTTTTGATATCTGGGTTTGGATCTTTGGCTATAATCGTGGCACTGACCCTCTACAGACACCAGCATCCTGTTAATTTATACCTGTTTTTTGGATTTGTAAGTATTTATATAAATTCAATTTTAATAGTCCCTAGAATATCTTTCATTGTGATGAACTCCTTGAAGCAAACTAGTGGTGGCTATACACTTACGAAGTTCTGAGTTATTTTTTGGAGGTTCTATCCACGGGTTGTTCCTAGATAGCCTCTACTTCAGGTTTCTTCCAGCATCTTTTTAGGAAGAGTGTCAGAACTTGGAATCAGGTTGAGCAAGCTTTTTTTTTTGTGTGTGTGTGTGTATAAATACATCTGTCTGCTCTCATTGTTCTGTTGATGTCAGCGATTTTTCTACAAAACTGCTCAGTAGGAAAGAAGGAGGCATTTCTGTTACCTTATTTGTTTAATGGACAACCTTTAGCAGAGACCCAAATGCAACCAGCCATATGTGTTTATTTCATTAATTCTTTTCTTTTTGATGCTAAATTCTGAGCATGTTTCCAACACAGGCAGATCAATCAGACCTGTCCTCAAATTTCAGTCTCCTGCCTGATGTTGCGAATTTGTAGATATGGGCTAACTGTTGCTCTTGGGTATTTTGGATTATGTAGCATATCAGTCTTCTGAAAAGAAGTCACAGTAGCACCACTGGAATTTGATGCTTTAGGAGTTGCCTAAATTGTATTTGCGATACAACAGGAAGACAGCGTTGCTGTGTAAGTAAATCAACTGTTTAAATTGTAACGCAGTTACATGCTTCCTGACTTCAGAACTCTTGCAGGAGAGTAAAATGTTTAAAAACTTCCTACAAGTGCAGCTGTAACAAGGAGTGATGTAATAGTTTGGCCAAATGTGGCGTGGGAGTTTGTGGTGTGACAGTTTAAATATTACATTGTGTAGGAAGAGAAGGGTTCAAATCTGTGTGTGATAAATTGGTTTAAACAAAATATGGGTTAAATGTTCTGTTATTTCTGACCTCGTGGTTCATGCCATAGATACTTGTCTCATCTTTTAGTGTAATGAAACTTAATTTGGAATTACCTTTTAGAAAAACTCAGGGCCCATACTAGCCTTCAGCCCAGACATCAATAATATTTTTGATTTTAAGTTAGCTGTTTCAAAACCACGATGAGTGGGAAAAGGAAACTGATGCAGACACTTAGCTCTCTAATGAGATATTAAGAGTGTTGGATGAAAGTATTTCAAATATTGAAAAGTATGCAAAAAGCTGAAAACAGTTCATTTCTAATAGCAGCTCTGAGAAATTTTATAGCCCCTTGAAGTGTGGTAAGAATGCTGTGTGCTTTGAGTAGAAAACCTAAACGGCATTTTTCTATAGGGGCTATCTCTCATTTATTTTCAGTTTATATCGTATTATTTTTATGTAACACAACAACTTCCAGCACAGTAAGACAGTATGATTGCCATTTTCTTGTTGAAAATTAAACATGTTTTCATATACAAAGATTTAACAAGAGAGCTAATGTAATGCATGCTGGGATTATGTAGCAGAATGGGGCTCATTGCATGTGAAGTCTCCGTGTAAGTGTTTTGTGCGGGTTTTTTTGTCCTTGTAATTTTTTGTTTCTACTTTTTGTAGACCCTACTGGAAGCACTGACAGTTGCCATTACAGGTAAATGGTAGCCATCCTATTGTCCGATTCCTTAAAGAAATTGGAAAAGGAATCCAATATGTTCTACTAATTGCCATCTGAGATTCCTAGATGTGACTAAAGTGATAATAAATCCCGTTTGAAAATTTTAATGACAATGATATGAATTTAGCAAGAAACAGGGAATCAACGGAGAGAACTGGATTCTGATCCAGAACTGAAACTGTATAAACCTGAAGTGAGAAATGAATTGTGCCATCCATTCTTTCAGTACAGCTAGCAGTGCTCTTTCCTATAAGGTAGCTCTCAGCAGAGCTGATGTGCAAGTGAAATAACCTTATCTTCCTTCTCTGTTTTCTCCAAGGGGATTACTTTGAGTTTGGAGAGCTCTGTACTCTGTTGTCAGGGTTGAGATGGGGCGGTGTGCAGACAAGTCATGGCAACACCTTGCACTATAGCTTCCAGCATAAGTTGAAACCTCTTCATTATGGTTTATGGTCTCCTGCAAAAAAAAAGTCGTTTGGGGAAAGGAAAGATTGAGGAAGGAGGGAAGAAAAAAGTTCCATTAATTTCTCTTATCTTTCCCTTCCTACCCCATAACCAAAACTTCTATGAGCCTTTACAGGGGACTGATTGTCTTGTGATTTTTTTTTTTACCTTGTTTCAGTATCCTGAAAAATTCAGATAGCTTTTTCATTAAGATCTCACATATCTAGGCTTAAAAATACTTATTTTCTTATTTTTTTTATTTTTTGTTGTGAGTAGGGAAGATGTGTTATCTCAAGATGTGTTATCTCCATTTAAGAAACTACAGCTATACTATAACTGTCAAACTTAGCTAGTGCAAGGGTCCGTGAGTCCTGTGATCATGATTTTGAAGTGCAAAGACAAGTTCAGGCATAATTTACTTTTTTTTTGTTCACAGGTAAGATTTTTTTTTTTCCCCTGTCTGTGAAAGTTTAAACTTCTGTTTCCTCAAAAGATACCTTAGAAAATCCATAGTGTAGTGTTCTTTAAATGACAGTTTACTTCTTCTGTTTATAGTGAGTTTCTATGATGTGTCCATCGTCTTGCAAGCCGTGCAAAGACAAGTTCAGGCATAATTTACTTTTTTTTTGTTCACAGGTAAGATTTTTTTTTTTCCCCTGTCTGTGAAAGTTTAAACTTCTGTTTCCTCAAAAGATACCTTAGAAAATCCATAGTGTAGTGTTCTTTAAATGACAGTTTACTTCTTCTGTTTATAGTGAGTTTCTATGATGTGTCCATCGTCTTGCAAGCCTTTACTCTTACTACTACTGTATTTCTTGGACTGACTGCATATACCTTGCAGTCAAAGAGAGACTTCAGCAAATTTGGAGCAGGGTATGTTGTCATATTGATGATTTTTTTTTTTTAAGCTAGTTTTTTTCTTTTTTAAAGCAAGCTTTGCAGATATCATACTGAATACAGGTCAGTAGAACCTGCTTCAAGGTTCTGAATGGTGAGGGTGAGGAAGGGAAGAGATTTTAAGTAAAATTTAAAAGAAAATATATTGTTGCTCACAGTTTAATTTTTTTTTTCAGCCTCTTCGCTTGTTTGTGGATTTTAATCTTCTCGGGTTTCTTGAGGGTAAGATACCTTGTGTTCAAGGTTAAAAAACATTCTGTAACGTAAATCTTTTACTAACTTCTAGTGTAACAAAAAGGTTTTGGACAGTCCAATATAGCTTAATGAAGGAAAATTCCTAGCCAGATTCATTACTGTTGTAGATCATGCTGGTGATCTTTTAACCATTCATTTCCAATTCAGATTTTTGTTGGATGCTGTTCTTGCTAATGTAAAAGTGGTATTTGCGTTGATTGTCAAAATTGGTCCATCGAGATCCACTACTTGACTGAGAGAATGGGAAGGAGATTTGGGTTTTAATTGCATTTTGTTTTTCTAATTTTTCTGCTGTTAATATTCTGGAGACCAGAGCTTCCTTTCTCTTAAGCGGAGGCACTTTTACTCAGTTAAAGAGATTGTGTGACTGGGGACTATATGAAATAAGAACATTGAAATGTCATTGTAATATTGTATACACACATATTTGTGTGTGTATAACAGTGAAAAGACAGTGTGTATCCCTGTTTTAAGAGTGGCATATCATTATGCAGGGATTTTAATATTAAAAAGAATATTTACAATTTTTTTTTTCATGTTTCATTTGCTCCAGCTGTTTTTCTACAGTGAGACAATAGAGTTGGTGTTTGCTGCTGCCGGAGCTCTTCTGTTCTGTGGATTTATTATTTATGACACTCATTTGCTGATGCACAAATTATCCCCTGAAGAGTACATCCTGGCTGCAATCAATCTCTACTTGGATATCATCAATCTGTTCTTACACCTGCTGCGTTTACTGGAAGCATTTAATAAAAAATAGTCAAAATGGTATGGCTTGACTATAGCGTATGTAAAGTTAAGTACCTAAATAGCGTTTGGATGATCTACAAACCGTGTAGTTCTGTCTTCTAGAGATTGAAACTTTATTACTTTTTCATTCCATGAATATTGATCCCTCCTTAGGAAAAAAAAGGCTTTTTATGTAGCTAAAGTTCTTCTCTAGAATATATATTTTATGTAGTTAACATGCTGTCATCATTTCAGTCACTTTTTTAATCACTTAATTTGCACTTGACATAATTCACGATTAAAACGTTTGCCAACTTCTGATTGCTCCGGAGTAAGCCTCTCTGCTGTTCCGTAGCTGCTGGAAATGTTTCCTTTGGGATTGTAAGTGCGTGTACCGCATAAGGGTAGCCTGGGTTTATCATTGTGCAATGTTTTACTAAGCCAAAATTTTTTTCTAGTTTTTGTTTGGTAAAATGGAATGCTGTCTCTGTAACAGAGATACTCTGTTCTTGTTAAGGGCTGTCAGATTATTATGGAGGCTGGGAGGGTATTAAAACAATTAAAGGGAATGTTCTTCATTTAAGTATTATTTATTGCCTAGCTTTCAGTGTTCTGAAAAATCATTTGGAGATGGATTCTGGCATTTTATCGACTTGTGTATATTAAGGTTAATTGTCTGCCAATAAAAATTGGAAAACCTTTAGCCTGTTCTTGCAGCTGAGACCGGAGAACTTCAGGGCGCTGAGAGTGAGCATTGTCAACCCTTGCTGGACAGGCGAGCGCTTGCTGCGCGGGGAGAGGCGCTGCCACAGCGGCTGCTTTCTTTCCAAGCTGTTGAAATCCTGGAACGGCAGGCAGGGTAAAAACAATTTCGAAAGGCTTTCTTACTTCGTATTCAGTGTTGAAGTCCAAGTATTGTTACCGCTCGCCTGTCCTGTCAGCGAGAGGTTAGCAAAAAGGCGACGCGGTGCGTGGGAAACATCCCGTGTCCTACCACAAGCAGGGACAACGTCCGCTTTCCGTGCTGGAACTTGACTGAGGCTATTGAAGTACGACTGCGAATTGTTTTGAGCAACTGTGATGGTTTCTCTCTTCTGTCTTAGAGTTTCATTAAGAAATGTGTGGCAGTAGCTAAAAATAAAACTTTCCCTTTTTTCCTCGCGATGAAACACGTGTTTATTTTTCCATCTACCCCTCCATGCGCAGTGGTGGCTGGACGTTGCTTCACACCCGCAGCACACGGCTCCGTGCAGGTAGCCGGTCCTGCCCC